CCTGTATTCAAGCCACTGCAAGGAAATCCGAACTCCTTTCAAGTTAGGGCTTCTCGCTGTATATTCCACTTGAGGCAGCAAACTCGGGGTCCCTCCCACATACCTATTGCTGAGAGAAGCCTCCTCTTGAGGTGCTTCTGGAAAGTTGGCATACGTCTTGAGCCTAAGCCATGGAATCAGCTCTCACCTCGAAACGATTTGGGGTACACGGAGCATTCCTCGAGTTGCTGTGCTGAAGTTCGTATTCCTCTAGACTTGGGACAGTGTTCTCGAAGCACCTCTAGAGTTGCCGGAAGGAAGTCAAGCCAATGGTGGTGTTTAATGGGGTATGGGGGATGGCTCTGGAGTCAATGCATGGGAATCGGGCCTCATCTCAAGTTGATGTGGGGTACTTGCAGCTGCTTTGCATTGCTTGGGTGACCTCAGGGTCTGTCTAGACTTGTGACAGTGTTCCTGGGGACTTTCTCGAGTTCAATTAAGCAAGTCGAAGCTCCTGACTTGCATGATGGGGATCACGGGAATGCTCTTCATGGACTGCAGGAATCAGGCCTCATCTCGCATCTAGGGGAAGTCTCATGGTTTTACTCGAGTTGCGGCGCGAACTGGGGTATGTTCTCGAGTTACGGCGGGGATGGCCCTTCAAAACACGTGTTTATTCAGTGACGTCAGGACTCCTGTCTAGTAACGAGAGACACCTCAGGAATCTCTTCGAGGCTTGGCAGGACAAAAGGGATGCTTCTCGAGGTGAGGCAGGGCACCTAAGAACCCTGTCCTGTAGCCACAGTGATTTTGGGATTCCTATCAATGTTCAGGAGGAGTCAGGCATCGTCACATTTTGAAGCAGTGAACTCCGTGTGCCTCTCGAGGTGTCAAAGGGATGTGAGACATTCCGTCAAAATCAGGCAGGGACCTAGGGCTTTCTCTACGGTCTCCACAGTGGATTCAGACATCCCTTCCTGTTGTGAGATGAAAGACGAGCCTGTATTCAAGACACTGCAAGGAAATCCGGCCTCCTTTCAAGTTAGGGCTTCTCGCTGTATATTCCACTTGAGGCAGCAAAGTGGAGGTCCCTCCAACATACCTATTGCTGAGAGAAGCCTCCTCTTGAGGTGCTTCTGGAAAGTTGGCATACGTATTGAGCCTAAGCCAGGGAATCAGCTCTCATCTCGAGAAGATTTGGCATACAGGAAGCATTCCTCGAGTTGCTGTGCTAAAGTAGGTGTTCCTCTAGACTAGGGACAGTGTTCTCGGGGCATCTCTGGAGTTGTCTGAAGGAGGTCAAGCCACTGGTGGTGTTTAATGCGGAACGGGAGATGGCTCTGGAGTCAATACAGGGGAATCGGACCTCATCTCAAGTTGATTTGGGGCACATGGAGCTGCTTTGCGTTGCTGGGGATACCTCAGGGTCCGTCTAGACATGTGACAGTGTTCTTGGGGACTGTCTCGAGATCCATTAAGCAAGTCGAAGCTCCTGACTTGTTTGATGGGGATCACGGGAATACTCTGCATGCACTGTAGGGAATCAGGACTCATCTCGCATCTAACGAGAAGTCTCATGGTTTCTCTCAATTTGCGCGGGGGACCTGGGGTATCTTCTCGAGTTACGGCGGCGATGGCCCTTGAAAACACGTGTTTATTCAGTGCCGACAGGACTCCTGCCTAGTAACGAGGGACACCTCAGGAATCTCTTCGAGGCTTGGCAGGGCAAAATGGATGCTTCTCGAGGTGAGGCAGGGCACACAAGAATCCTTTCCTGTAGCCACAGTGATTTTGGGATTCCTATCAATATTCAAGACGAGTGAGGCATCATCAACTTTTGAAGCAGTGAACTCCGCGTGCCTCTCGAAGTGTAAACGGGATGTGAGGCATTCCGTCAAAATGAGGCAGGGACCTAGAGCTTTCTCTAAGGTCTCCACAGGGGATTCAGACATCCCTTCATGCTGTGAGATGAAAGACGAGCCTGTATTCAAGCCACTGCAAGGAAATCCGGCCTCGTTTCAAGTTAGGGCTTCTCGCTGTATATTCCACTTGAGGCAGCAAACTCGGGGTCCCTCCCAAATACATATTGCTGAGATAAGCCTCCTCTTGAGGTGCTTCTGGAAAGTTGGCATACGTCTTGAGCCTAAGCCATGGAATCAGCTCTCACCTCGAAACGATTTGTGGTACACGGACCATTCCTCGAGTTGCTTTGCTGAAGTTCGTATTCCTCTAGACTTGGGACAGTGTTCTCGGGCCATCTCTGGAGTTGCCTGAAGGAAGTCAAGCCTCTGGTGGTGCTTAATGGGGTACGGGGGATGGCTCTGGAGTCAATGCCGGAGAATCGGGCCTCATCTCGAGTTGATGTGGGGCACTTGGAGCTGCTTTGCATTGCTGGGGTGACCTCAGGGTCTGTCTAGACTTGTGACAGTGTTCCTGGGGACTCTCTGGAGATCCATTAAGCAAGTCGAAGCTCCTGACTTGCTTGATGGGGATCACGGGACTGCTCTGCATGGACTGCAGGGAATCAGACCTCATCTCGCATCTAGGGGAAGTCTCAACGTTTTGCTCCAGTTGCGGCCGGACCTGGGGTATGTTCTCGACTTATGGCGGGGATGGGCCTTCAAAACACGTGTTTATTCAGTGACGTCAGGGATCCTGTCTAGTAACGAGGGACACCTCAGGAATCTCTTCGGGGCTTGGCAAGGCAAAATGGATGCTTCTCGAGGTGAGGCAGGGCACGCAAGAATCCTTTCCTGTAGCCACAGTGATTTTGGGATTCCTATCAATATTCAAGACGAGTGAGGCATCATCACCTTTTGAAGCAGTGAATTCCGCGTGACTCTCGAAGTATCAACGGGATGTGAGGCATTCCGTCAAAATGAGGCAGGGACCTAGAGCTTTCTCTAAGGTCTCCACAGGGGATTCAGACATCCCTTCATGCTGTGAGATGAAAGACGAGCCTGTATTCAAGCCACTGCAAGGAAATCCGGCCTCCTTTCAAGTTAGGGCTTCTCGCTGTATATTCCACTTGAGGCAGCAAACTTGGGGTCCCTCCCACATACCTATTGCTGAGAGAAGCCTCCTCTTGAGGGGCTTCTGGAAAGTTGGCATACGTCTTGAGCCTAAGCCATGGAATCAGCTCTCACCTCGAAACGATTTGGGGTACACGGAACATTCCTCGAGTTGCTGTGCTGAAGTTCGTATTCCTCTAGACTTGGGACATTGTTCTCGGGGCATCTCTGGAGTTGCCTGAAGGAAGTCAAGCCACTGGTGGTGTTTAATGGGGTACGGGCGATGGCTCTGGAGTCAATGCATGGGAATCGGGCCTCAACTCGAGTTGATGTGGGGTACTTGGACCTGCTTTGCTTTGCTGGGGTGATGTCAGGGTCTGTCTAGACTTGTGACAGTGTTCCTGGGGACTCTCTCGAGATCCATTAAGCAATTCGAAGCTGCTGACTTGCTTGATTGCGATCACGGGAATGCTCTGCATGGACTGCAGGGAATCAGGCCTCATATCGCATCTAGGGGAAGTCTCATGGTTTTTCTCGAGTCGCGGGGGTACGTGGGGTATGTTCTCGAGTTATGGCGGGCATGGCCCTTGAAAACACGTGTTTATTCAGTGACGTCATGACTCCTGTCTAGTAATGAGGGACACCTCAGGAATCTCTTCGAGCCTTGGCAGGGCAAAAGGGATGCTTCTCGAGGTGAGGCAGGGCACACAAGAACCCTTTCCTGTAGCCACAGTGATTTTTTGATTCCTATCAATGTTCAGGAGGAGTCAGGCATCGTCACATTTGAAGCAGTGAACTCCGTGTGCCTCTCGAGGTGTCAACGAGATGTGAGGCAATCCGTCAAAATGAGGCAGGGACCAAGGGCTTTCGCTAAGGTCTCCACAGGGGATTCAGACATTCCTTCCGGTTGTGAGATGAAAGACGAGCCTGTATTCAAGATACGGCAAGGAAACCCGGCCTCCTTTCAAGTTAGGGCTTCTCGCTGCATATTCCACTTGAGGCAGCAAACTGGGGGCCCCTCCAACATACCTATTGCTGAGAGAAGCCTCCCCTTGAGGTGCTTCTGGAAAGTTGGCATACGTCTTGAGCCTAAGCCAGGGAATCAGCTCTCATCTCGAGATGATTTGGGGTACACGGAGCATTCCTCGAGTTGCTGTGCTGAAGTTCGTATTCCTCTAGACTTGGGACAGTGTTCTCGGGGCATCTCTGGAGTTGCCTGAAGGGAGTCAATCCAGTGGTGGTGTTTAATGGTGTACAGGGGATGGCTCTGGAGTCAATGCACGGGAATCGGGCCTCATCTCGAGTTGATGTGGGGTACTTGCAGCTGCTTTGCATTGCTGGGGTGACCTCAGGGTCTGTCTAGACTTGTGACATTGTTCCTGGGGACTTTCTGGAGTTCAATTCAGCAAGTCGAAGCTCCTGACTTGTTTCATGGGGATCACGGAATTGCTCTGCATGCACTGCAGGAGAATCGGGCCTCATCTCGCCACTAGGGGAAAGTCTCATGGTTTTTCTCGACTTGTGGCGGGGACCTGGGGTATGTACTCGGGTTTCGGCGGGGATGGCCCTTAAAAACTCGTGTTTATTCAGTGACGTCAGGACTCCTGTCCCGTAACGAGGGACAGCTCAGGAATCTCTTCGAGGCTTGGCAGGCACAAGGGACGCTTCTCGAGGTGAGGCAGGGCACCCAAGGAACCTTTCAAATAGCCACAGGTATTTTGGGATATCTATCAATATTCAAGAGGAGTCAGGCATCGTGAGCTTTTGAAGCAGTGAACTCCGCGTGACTCTCGAGGTGTCAACGGGATGTGAGGCATTCCGTCAAAATGAGGCAGGGACCTAGGGCTTTCTCTAAGGTCTCCACAGGGGATTCAGACATTCCTTCCGGTTGTGAGATGAAAGACGAGCCTGTATTCAAGACACAGCAAGGAAATCCGGCCTCCTTTGAAGTTAGGGCTTCTCGATGTATATTCCACTTTAGGCAGCAAACTGGGGGTCCCTCCAACATACCTATTGCTGAGAGAAGGCTCCCCTTGAGGTGCTTCTGGAAAGTTGGCATACGTCTTGAGCCTAAGCCAGGGAATCAGCTCTCATCTCGAGACGATTTGGGGTACACGGAGCATTCCTCGAGTTGCTGTGCTGAAGATGGTGTTCCTCTAGTCTTGGGACAGTGTTCTCGGGCATTTCTGGAGTTGCCTGAAGGAAGTCAAGCCACTGGTGGTGTTTAATGGGTTACGGGGGATGGCTCTGGAGTCAATGCATGGGTATCGGGCCTCATCTCGAGTTGATGTGGGGTACTTGCAGCTGCTTTGCATTGCTGGGTTGACCTCAGGGTCTGTCTAGACTTGTGACAGTGTTCCTGGGGACTTTCTCGAGTTCAATTAAGCAAGTCGAAGCTCCTGACTTGCTTGATGGGGATCACGGGAATGCTCTGCATGGACTGCAGGGAATCAGGCCTCATCTCGCATCTAGGGGAAGTCTCATGGTTTTACTCGAGTTGCGGCGGGAACTGGGGTATCTTCTCGAGTTATGGCGGGGATGGCCCTTCAAAACACGTGTTTATTCAGTGACGTCAGGACTCCTGTCTAGTAACGAGAGACATCTCAGGAATCTCTTCGAGGCTTGGCAGGGCAAAAGGGATGCTTCTCGAGGTGACGCAGGGCACCCAAGAACCCTGTCCTGTAGCCACAGTGATTTTGGGATTCCTATCAATGATCAGGAGCGGTCAGGCATCGTCACATTTGAAGCAGTGAACTCCGTGTGCCTCTCGAGGTGTCAACGGGATGTGAGGCATTCCGTCAAAATGAGGCATGGACCTAGGGCTTTCTCTAAGGTCTCCACAGGGGATTCAGACATTCCTTCCGGTTGTGAGATGAAAGACGAGCCTGTATTCAAGACACAGCAAGGAAATCCGGCCTCCTTTGAAGTTAGGGCTTCTCGATGTATATTCCAATTTAGGCAGCAAACTGGGGGTCCCTCCAAAATACCTATTGCTGAGAGAAGGCTCCCCTTGAGGTGCTTCTGGAAAGTTGGCATACGCCTTGAGCCTAAGCCAGGGAATCAGCTCTCATCTCGAGACGATTTGGGGTACACGGAGCATTCCTCGAGTTGCTGTGCTGAAGATGGTGTTCCTCTAGACTTAGGACAGTGTTCTCGGGGCATCTCTGGAGTTGTCTGAAGGAGGTCAAGCCACTGGTGGTGTTTAATGCGGAACGGCAGATGGCTCTGGAGACAATGCAGGGGAATTGGACCTCATCTCAAGTTGATTTGGGGCACATGGAGCTGCTTTGCGTTGCTGGGGATACCTCAGGGTCCGTCTAGACATGTGACAGTGTTCTTGGGGAATGTCTCGAGATCCATTAAGCAAGTCGAAGCCCCTGACTTGTTTGATGGGGATCACGGAATTGCTCTGCATTCAGTTCAGGAGAATCGGGCCTCACCTCGCCTCTAGGCGGAAGTCTCATGGTTTTTCTCGAGTTGCGGCGGGGAACTGGGGTATGTACTCGAGTTACGGCGGCGATAGCCCTTCAAAACACGTGTTTATTCAGTGACGTCAGGACTCCTGTCCAGTAACGAGGGACAGCTCAGGAATCTCTTCGAGCTTGCCGGGGCACAAGGGACGCTTCTCGAGATGAGGCAGGGCACCCAAGGAACCGTTCCAATAGCCACAGTGATTTTGGGATTCCTATCAATATTCAAGAGGAGTCAGGCATCGTCACCTTTTGAAGCAGTGAACTCCGCGTGCCTCTCGAGGTGTCAAAGGGATGTGAGGCATTCCGTCAAAATGAGGCAGGGACCTAGGGCTTTCTCTAAGGTCTCCACAGGGGATTCAGACATCCCTTCCTGTTGTGAGATGAAAGACGAGCCTATATACAAGACACTGCAAGGAAATCCGGCCGCCATTCAAGTTAGGGCTTCTCGCTGTATATTCCACTTGAGGCAGCAAACTGGGGGTCCCTCCAACATACCTATTGCTGAGAGAAGGCTCCCCTTGAGGTGCTTTTGGAAAGTTGGCAAACGTCTTGAGCCTAAGCCAGGGAATCAGCTCTCATCTCGAGACGATTTGGGGTACACGGAGCATTCCTCGAGTTGCTGTGCTGAAGATGGTGTTCCTCTAGACTTGGGACAGTGTTCTCAGGGCATCTCTGGAGTTGCCTGAAGGAAGTCAAGCCACTGGTCGTGTTTAATGTGGAACGGGGGATGGCTCTGGAGTCAATGCAGGGGAATCGGGCATTATCTCGAGTTGATTTGGGGCACATGGTGCTGCTTTGCGTTGATGGGGTGACCTCAGGATCCGTCTAGACATGTGACAGTGTTCTTGGGGACTGTCTCGAGATCCATTAAGCAAGTCGAAGCTTCTGACTTGTTTGATGGGGATCACGGAATTGCTCTGCATGCACTGCAGGAGAATCGGGCCTCATCTCGCCTCTAGGGGAAAGTCTCATGGTTTTTCTCGAATTGCGGCGGGGACCTGGGGTATGTACTCGGGTTACGGCGGGGATGGCCCTTCAAAACTCGTGTTTATTCAGTGACGTCAGAACTCCTGTCCAGTAACGAGGGACAGGTCAGGAATCTCTTCGAGGCTTGGCAGGGCACAAGGGACGCTTCTCGAGGTGAGGCAGGGCACCCAAGGAACCTTTCCAATAGCCACAGGGATTTTGGGATTCCTATCAATATTTTAGAGGAGTCAGGCATCGTCACCTTTTGAAGCAGTGAATTCCGCGTGCCTCTCGAGGTGACAACGGGATGTGAGGCATTCCGTCAAAATGAGGCAGGGACCTATAGCTTTCTCTAAGGTCTCCACAGGGGATTCAGACATCCCTTCATTCTGTGAGATGAAAGACGAGCCTGTATTCAAGCCACTGCAAGGAAATCCGGCCTCCTTTCAAGTTAGGGCTTCTCGCTGTATATTCCCCTTGAGGCAGAAAACTCGGGGTCCCTCCCACATACCTATTGCTGAGAGAAGCCTCCTCCTGTGGTGCTTCTGTAAAGTTGGCATACGTCTTGAGCCTAAGCCAGGGAATCAGCTCTCATCTCGAGACGATTTGGGGTACACGGAGCATTCCGCGAGTTGCTGTGCTGAAGTTGGTGTTCCTCTAGACTTGGGACAGTGTTCTCGGGGCATCTCTGGAGATGCCTGAAGGAAGTCGAGCCACCGGTCGTGTTGAATGGGGAACGGGGAATGGCTCTGGGGTCAATGCAGGGGAATCGGGCCTCATCTCGTGTTGATTTGGGGCACATGGAGCTGCTTTGCATTGCTGGGGTGACCTCAGGGTCCGTCTAGACTTGTGACAGTGTTCTTGGGGACTGTCTCGAAATCCATTAAGCGAGTCGAAGCTCCTGACTTGTTTGATGGGGATCACGGGAATACTCTGCATGCACTGCAGGGAATCAGGACTCATCTCGCATCTAGGGGGAAGTCTCACCGTTTCTCTCAATTTGCGTGGGGGACCTGGGGTATCTTCTCGAGTTACGGCGGGGATGGCCCCTCAAAACCCGTGTTTATTCAGTGCCGTCAGGACTCCTGTCTAGTAACGAGGGAAACCTCAAGAATCTCTTCGAGGCTTGGCAGGTCAAAAGGTATGCTTCTCGGGGTGAGGCAGGGCACCCAATGACCCTTTCCAGTAGCCACAGTGATTTTGGGATTCCTATCAATATTCAAGACGAGTGAGGCATCATCACCTTTTGAAGCAGTGAAATCCGCATGCCTCTCGAAGTGTCAACTGGATGTGAGGCATTCCGTCAAAATGAGGCAGGGACCTAGAGCTTTCTCTAAGGTCTCCACAGGGGATTCAGACATCCCTTCATGTTGTGAGATGAAAGACGAGCCTGTATCCAAGCCACTGCAAGGAAATCCGGCCTCCTTTCAAGTTAGGGCTTCTCGCTGTATATTCCACTTGAGGCAGCAAACTCGGGGTCCCTCCCAAATACCTATTGCTGAGAGAAGCCTCCTCTTGAGGTGCTTCTGGAAAGTTGGCATACGCCTTGAGCCTAAGCCATGGAATCAGCTCTCACCTCGAAACGATTTGGGGTACACGGAGCATTCCTCGAGTTGCTGTGCTGAAGTTCGTATTCCTCTAGACTTGGGACAGTGTTCTCAGGGCATCTCTCGAGTTGCCTGAAGGAAGTCAAGCCACTGGTGGTGTTTAATGGGGTACGGGGGATGGCTCTGGAGTCAATGCATGGGAATCCGGCCTCAACGCGAGTTGATGTGGGGTACTTGGAGCTGCTTTGCGTTGCTGGGGTGATGTCAGGGTCTGTCTAGACTTGTGACAGTGTTCCTGGGGACTCTTTCGAGATCCATTAAGCAATTCGAAGCTGCTGACTTGCTTGATTGGGATCACGGGAATGCTCTGCATGGACTGCAGGGAATCAGGCCTCATCTCGCATCTAGGGGAAGCCTCATGGTTTTTCTCGAGTTGCGGCGGGACCTGGGGTATGTTCTCGAGTTATGGCGGGCATGGCCCTTGAAAACACGTGTTTATTCAGTGACGGCATGACTCCTGTCTAGTAATGAGGGACACCTCAGGAATCTCTTCGAGCCTTGGCAGGGCAAAAGGGATGCTTCTCGAGGTGAGGCAGGGCACACAAGAATCCTTTCCTGTAGCCACAGTGATTTTGGGATTCCTATCAATGACAAGGAGGGGTCAGGCATCGTCACATTTGAAGCAGTGAACTCCGTGTGCCTCCCGAGGTGTCAACAGGATGTGAGGCAATCCGTCAAAATGAGGCAGGGACCTAGGGCTTTCGCTGAGGTCTCCACAGGGGATTCAGACAATCCTTCCGGTTGTGAGATGAAAGACGAGCCTGTATTCAAGACACTACAAGGAAACACGGCCTCCTTTCAAGTTAGGGCTTCTCGTTGCATATTCCACTTGAGGCAGCAAACTGGGGGTCCCTCCAACATAACTATTGCTGAGAGAAACCTCCCCTTGAGGTGCTTCTGGAAAGTTGGCATACGTCTTGAGCCTAAGCCAGGGAATCAGCTCTCATCTCGAGACGATTTGGGGTACACGGAGCATTCCTCGAGTTGCTGTGCTGAAGATGGTGTTCCTCTAGTCTTGGGACAGTGTTCTCAGGGCATCTCTGGAGTTGTCTGAAGGAAGTCAAGCCACTGGTGGTGTTTAATGTGGAACGGGGGATGGCTCTGGATTCAATGCAGGGGAATCGGGCATTATCTCGAGTTGATGTGGGGCACATGGTGCTGCTTTGCGTTGATGGGGTGACCTCAGGATCCGTCTAGACATGTGATAGTATTCTTGGGGACTGTCTCGAGATCCATTAAGCAAGTCGAAGGTCCTGACTTGTTTGATGCGGATCACGGAATTGCTCTGCATGCACTGCAGGAGAATCGGGCCTCATCTCGCCACTAGGTGAAAGTCTCATGATTTTTCTCGACTTGCGGCGGGGACCTGGGGTATGTACTCGGGTTACGGCGGGGATGGCCCTTAAAAACTCGTGTTTATTCAGTGACGTCAGGACTCCTGTCCAGTAACGAGGGACAGCTCAGGAATCTCTTCGAGGCTTGGCAGGCACAAGGGACGCTTCTCGAGGTGAGGCAGGGCACACAAGGAAACTTTCAAATAGCCACAGGGATTTTGTGATTCCTATCAATATTCAAGAGGAGTCAGGCATCGTCAGCTTTTGAAGCAGTGAACTCCGCGTGACTCTCGAGGTGTCAACGGGATGTGAGGCATTCCGTCAAAATGAGGCAGGGACCTAGGGCTTTCTCTAAAGTCTCCACAGGGGATTCAGACACCTCTTCCTGCTGTGAGATGAAAGAAGAGCCTGTATTCAAGACACTGCTAGGAAACCGGCCTCCATTCTAGTTAGTGCTTCTCGCTGTATATTCCATTTGAGGCAGCAAACTCGGGTTCCCTCCCACATAACTATTGCTCAGAGAAGCCTCCTCTTGAGGTGCTTCTGGAAAGTTGGCATACGTCTTGAGCCTAAGCCAGGGAATCAGCTCTCATCTCGAGAAGATTTGACATACAGGAAGCATTCCTCGAGTTGCTGTGCTAAAGTAGGTGTTCCTCTAGACTTGGGACAGTGTTCTCGGGGCATCTCTGGAGTTGTCTGAAGGAGGTCAAGCCACTGGTGGTGTTTAATGCGGAACGGCAGATGCCTCTGGAGTCAATGCAGGGGAATCGGACCTCATCTCAAGTTGATTTGGGGCACATGGAGCTGCTTTGCGTTGCTGGGGATACCTCAGGGTCCGTCTAGACATGTGACAGTGTTCTTGGGGAATGTCTCGAGATCCATTAAGCAAGTCGAAGCCCCTGACTTGTTTGATGGGGATCACGGAATTGCTCTGCATTCAGTTCAGGAGAATCGGGCCTCACCTCGCCTCTAGGCGGAAGTCTCATGGTTTTTCTCGAGTTGCGGCGGGGAACTGGGGTATGTACTCGAGTTACGGCGGCGATAGCCCTTCAAAACACGTGTTTATTCAGTGACGTCAGGACTCCTGTCCAGTAACGAGGGACAGCTCAGGAATCTCTTCGAGCTTGCCGGGGCACAAGGGACGCTTCTCGAGATGAGGCAGGGCACCCAAGGAACCGTTCCAATAGCCACAGTGATTTTGGGATTCCTATCAATATTCAAGAGGAGTCAGGCATCGTCACCTTTTGAAGCAGTGAACTCCGCGTGCCTCTCGAGGTGTCAAAGGGATGTGAGGCATTCCGTCAAAATGAGGCAGGGACCTAGGGCTTTCTCTAAGGTCTTCACAGGGGATTCAGACATCCCTTCCTGTTGTGAGATGAAAGACGAGCCTATATACAAGACACTGCAAGGAAATCCGGCCTCCATTCAAGTTAGGGCTTCTCGCTGTATATTCCACTTGAGGCAGCAAACTGGGGGTCCCTCCAACATACCTATTGCTGAGAGAAGGCTCCCCTTGAGGTGCTTTTGGAAAGTTGGCAAACGTCTTGAGCCTAAGCCAGGGAATCAGCTCTCATCTCGAGACGATTTGGGGTACACGGAGCATTCCTCGAGTTGCTGTGCTGAAGATGGTGTTCCTCTAGACTTGGGACAGTGTTCTCAGGGCATCTCTGGAGTTGCCTGAAGGAAGTCAAGCCACTGGTCGTGTTTAATGTGGAACGGGGGATGGCTCTGGAGTCAATGCAGGGGAATCGGGCATTATCTCGAGTTGATTTGGGGCACATGGTGCTGCTTTGCGTTGATGGGGTGACCTCAGGATCCGTCTAGACATGTGACAGTGTTCTTGGGGACTGTCTCGAGATCCATTAAGCAAGTCGAAGCTTCTGACTTGTTTGATGGGGATCACGGAATTGCTCTGCATGCACTGCAGGAGAATCGGGCCTCATCTCGCCTCTAGGGGAAAGTCTCATGGTTTTTCTCGAATTGCGGCGGGGACCTGGGGTATGTACTCGGGTTACGGCGGGGATGGCCCTTCAAAACTCGTGTTTATTCAGTGACGTCAGAACTCCTGTCCAGTAACGAGGGACAGGTCAGGAATCTCTTCGAGGCTTGGCAGGGCACAAGGGACGCTTCTCGAGGTGAGGCAGGGCACCCAAGGAACCTTTCCAATAGCCACAGGGATTTTGGGATTCCTATCAATATTTTAGAGGAGTCAGGCATCGTCACCTTTTGAAGCAGTGAATTCCGCGTGCCTCTCGAGGTGACAACGGGATGTGAGGCATTCCGTCAAAATGAGGCAGGGACCTATAGCTTTCTCTAAGGTCTCCACAGGGGATTCAGACATCCCTTCATTCTGTGAGATGAAAGACGAGCCTGTATTCAAGCCACTGCAAGGAAATCCGGCCTCCTTTCAAGTTAGGGCTTCTCGCTGTATATTCCCCTTGAGGCAGAAAACTCGGGGTCCCTCCCACATACCTATTGCTGAGAGAAGCCTCCTCCTGTGGTGCTTCTGTAAAGTTGGCATACGTCTTGAGCCTAAGCCAGGGAATCAGCTCTCATCTCGAGACGATTTGGGGTACACGGAGCATTCCGCGAGTTGCTGTGCTGAAGTTGGTGTTCCTCTAGACTTGGGACAGTGTTCTCGGGGCATCTCTGGAGATGCCTGAAGGAAGTCGAGCCACCGGTCGTGTTGAATGGGGAACGGGGAATGGCTCTGGGGTCAATGCAGGGGAATCGGGCCTCATCTCGTGTTGATTTGGGGCACATGGAGCTGCTTTGCATTGCTGGGGTGACCTCAGGGTCCGTCTAGACTTGTGACAGTGTTCTTGGGGACTGTCTCGAAATCCATTAAGCGAGTCGAAGCTCCTGACTTGTTTGATGGGGATCACGGGAATACTCTGCATGCACTGCAGGGAATCAGGACTCATCTCGCATCTAGGGGGAAGTCTCACCGTTTCTCTCAATTTGCGTGGGGGACCTGGGGTATCTTCTCGAGTTACGGCGGGGATGGCCCCTCAAAACCCGTGTTTATTCAGTGCCGTCAGGACTCCTGTCTAGTAACGAGGGAAACCTCAAGAATCTCTTCGAGGCTTGGCAGGTCAAAAGGTATGCTTCTCGGGGTGAGGCAGGGCACCCAATGACCCTTTCCAGTAGCCACAGTGATTTTGGGATTCCTATCAATATTCAAGACGAGTGAGGCATCATCACCTTTTGAAGCAGTGAAATCCGCATGCCTCTCGAAGTGTCAACTGGATGTGAGGCATTCCGTCAAAATGAGGCAGGGACCTAGAGCTTTCTCTAAGGTCTCCACAGGGGATTCAGACATCCCTTCATGTTGTGAGATGAAAGACGAGCCTGTATCCAAGCCACTGCAAGGAAATCCGGCCTCCTTTCAAGTTAGGGCTTCTCGCTGTATATTCCACTTGAGGCAGCAAACTCGGGGTCCCTCCCAAATACCTATTGCTGAGAGAAGCCTCCTCTTGAGGTGCTTCTGGAAAGTTGGCATACGCCTTGAGCCTAAGCCATGGAATCAGCTCTCACCTCGAAACGATTTGGGGTACACGGAGCATTCCTCGAGTTGCTGTGCTGAAGTTCGTATTCCTCTAGACTTGGGACAGTGTTCTCAGGGCATCTCTCGAGTTGCCTGAAGGAAGTCAAGCCACTGGTGGTGTTTAATGGGGTACGGGGGATGGCTCTGGAGTCAATGCATGGGAATCCGGCCTCAACGCGAGTTGATGTGGGGTACTTGGAGCTGCTTTGCATTGCTGGGGTGATGTCAGGGTCTGTCTAGACTTGTGACAGTGTTCCTGGGGACTCTTTCGAGATCCATTAAGCAATTCGAAGCTGCTGACTTGCTTGATTGGGATCACGGGAATGCTCTGCATGGACTGCAGGGAATCAGGCCTCATCTCGCATCTAGGGGAAGCCTCATGGTTTTTCTCGAGTTGCGGCGGGACCTGGGGTATGTTCTCGAGTTATGGCGGGCATGGCCCTTGAAAACACGTGTTTATTCAGTGACGGCATGACTCCTGTCTAGTAATGAGGGACACCTCAGGAATCTCTTCGAGCCTTGGCAGGGCAAAAGGGATGCTTCTCGAGGTGAGGCAGGGCACACAAGAATCCTTTCCTGTAGCCACAGTGATTTTGGGATTCCTATCAATGACAAGGAGGGGTCAGGCATCGTCACATTTGAAGCAGTGAACTCCGTGTGCCTCCCGAGGTGTCAACAGGATGTGAGGCAATCCGTCAAAATGAGGCAGGGACCTAGGGCTTTCGCTGAGGTCTCCACAGGGGATTCAGACAATCCTTCCGGTTGTGAGATGAAAGACGAGCCTGTATTCAAGACACTACAAGGAAACACGGCCTCCTTTCAAGTTAGGGCTTCTCGTTGCATATTCCACTTGAGGCAGCAAACTGGGGGTCCCTCCAACATAACTATTGCTGAGAGAAACCTCCCCTTGAGGTGCTTCTGGAAAGTTGGCATACGTCTTGAGCCTAAGCCAGGGAATCAGCTCTCATCTCGAGACGATTTGGGGTACACGGAGCATTCCTCGAGTTGCTGTGCTGAAGATGGTGTTCCTCTAGTCTTGGGACAGTGTTCTCAGGGCATCTCTGGAGTTGTCTGAAGGAAGTCAAGCCACTGGTGGTGTTTAATGTGGAACGGGGGATGGCTCTGGATTCAATGCAGGGGAATCGGGCATTATCTCGAGTTGATGTGGGGCACATGGTGCTGCTTTGCGTTGATGGGGTGACCTCAGGATCCGTCTAGACATGTGATAGTATTCTTGGGGACTGTCTCGAGATCCATTAAGCAAGTCGAAGGTCCTGACTTGTTTGATGCGGATCACGGAATTGCTCTGCATGCACTGCAGGAGAATCGGGCCTCATCTCGCCACTAGGTGAAAGTCTCATGATTTTTCTCGACTTGCGGCGGGGACCTGGGGTATGTACTCGGGTTACGGCGGGGATGGCCCTTAAAAACTCGTGTTTATTCAGTGACGTCAGGACTCCTGTCCAGTAACGAGGGACAGCTCAGGAATCTCTTCGAGGCTTGGCAGGCACAAGGGACGCTTCTCGAGGTGAGGCAGGGCACACAAGGAAACTTTCAAATAGCCACAGGGATTTTGTGATTCCTATCAATATTCAAGAGGAGTCAGGCATCGTCAGCTTTTGAAGCAGTGAACTCCGCGTGACTCTCGAGGTGTCAACGGGATGTGAGGCATTCCGTCAAAATGAGGCAGGGACCTAGGGCTTTCTCTAAAGTCTCCACAGGGGATTCAGACACCTCTTCCTGCTGTGAGATGAAAGAAGAGCCTGTATTCAAGACACTGCTAGGAAACCGGCCTCCATTCTAGTTAGTGCTTCTCGCTGTATATTCCATTTGAGGCAGCAAACTCGGGTTCCCTCCCACATAACTATTGCTCAGAGAAGCCTCCTCTTGAGGTGCTTCTGGAAAGTTGGCATACGTCTTGAGCCTAAGCCAGGGAATCAGCTCTCATCTCGAGAAGATTTGACATACAGGAAGCATTCCTCGAGTTGCTGTGCTAAAGTAGGTGTTCCTCTAGACTTGGGACAGTGTTCTCGGGGCATATCTGGAGTTGTCTGAAGGAGGTCAAGCCACTGGTGGTGTTTAATGCGGAACGGCAGATGCCTCTGGAGTCAATGCAGGGGAATCGGACCTCATCTCAAGTTGATTTGGGGCACATGGAGCTGCTTTGCGTTGCTGGGGATACCTCAGGGTCCGTCTAGACATGTGACAGTGTTCTTGGGGAATGTCTCGAGATCCATTAAGCAAGTCGAAGCTCCTGACTTGTTTGATGGGGATCACGGAATTGCTCTGCATGCACTGCAGGAGAATCGGGCCTCATCTCGCCTCTAGGCGGAAGTCTCATGGTTTTTCTCGAGTTGCTGCGGGGACCTGGGGTATTTACTCGAGTTACGGCGGCGATGGCCCTTCAAAACACGTGTTTATTCAGTGACGTCAGGACTCCTGTCCAGTAACGAGGGACAGCTCAGGAATTTCTTCGAGGCTTGCCGGGGCAAAAGGGACGCTTCTCGAGATGAGGCAGGGAACCCAAGGAACCTTTCCAATAGCCACAGGGATTTTGGGATTCCTATCAATATTCAAGAGGAGTCAGGCATCGTCACCTTTTGAAGCAGTGAACTCCGCGAGCCTCTCGTGGTGTCAACGGGATGTGAGGCATTCCGTCACAATGAGGCAGGGAACTAGGGCTTTCTCAAAGGTCTTCACAGGGGATTCAGACATCCCTTCCTGTTGTGAGATGAAAGACGAGCCTGTATACAAGACACTGCCAGGAAATCCGGCCTCCATTCAAGTTAGGGCTTCTCACTGTATATTCCACTTTAGGCAGCAAACTCGGGGTCCCACGAACATACCTATTGCTGAGAGAAGCCTCCTCTTGAGGTGCTTCTGGAAAGTTGGCATACGTCTTGAGCCTAAGCCAGGGAATCAGCTCTCATCTCGAGACGATTTGTGGTACACGGGGCATTCCTCGAGTTGCTGTGCTGAAGTTGGTGTTCCTCTAGTCTTGGGACAGTGTTTTCGGGCATCTCTGGAGTTGTCTGAAGGAATACAAGCCAGTGGTCTTGTTTAATGGGGAACTGGGGATGGCTCTGGAGTCAATGCAGGGGAATCGGGCCACATCTCGGGTTGATTCGGGGCACATGGAGCTGCTTTGCGTTGCTGGGGTGACCTCATTGTCCATCTAGACTTGTGACAGTGTTCTTGGGGACTGTCTCGAGATCCATTAAGCAAGTCGAAGCTCCTGACTTGTTTGATGGGGATCACGGGAATACTCTGCATGCACTGCAGGGAATCAGGACTCATCTCGCATCTAGGGGGAAGTCTCATGGTTTCTCTTAAGTTGCGTGGGGGACCTGGGGTATCTTCTCGATTTACGGCGGGGATGGCCCTTGAAAACACGTGTTTATTCAGTGCCGTCAGGACTCCTGTCTAGTAACGAGGGAAACCTCAGGAATCTCTTCGAGGCTTGGCAGGTCAAAAGGTATGCTTCTCGAGGTGAGGCAGGGCACCCAACGACCCTTTCCAGTAGCCACAGTGATTTTGGGATTCCTATCAATATTCATGACGAGTCAGGCATCATCACCTTTTGAAGCAGTGAACTCCGCGTGCCTCTCGAGGTGTCAACGTGATGTGAGGCATTCCGTCAAAATGAGGCAGGGACCTAGAGCTTTCTCTAAGGTCTAACAGGGGCTTCAGACATGCCTTCATGCTGTGAGATGAAAGACGAGCCTGTATTCAAGCCAGTGCAAGGAAATCCGGCCTCCTTTCAAGTTAGGGCTTCTCGCTGTATATTCCACTTGAGGCAGCAAACTTGGGGTCCCTCCCACATATCGATTGCTGAGAGAAGCCTCCTCTTGAGGTGCTTCAGGAAAGTTGGTATACGTCTTGAGCCTAAGCCAGGGAATCAGCTCTCACCTCGAAACGATTTGGGGTACACGGAGCATTCCTCGAGTTGCTGTGCTGAAGTTCGTATTCCTCTAGACTTGGGACAGTGTTCTCGGGGCATCTCTGGAGTTCCCGGAAGGAAGTCAAGCCAATGGTGGTGTTTAATGGGTACGGGGGATGGCTCTGGAGTCAATGCATGGGAATCGGGCCTCATCTCGAGTTGATGTGGGGTACTTGGAGCTGCTTTGCGTTGCTGGGGTGATGTCAGGGTCTGTCTAGACTTGTGACAGTGTTCCTGGGGACTCTCTCGAGATCCATTAAGCAATTCGAAGCTGCTGATTTGCTTGATTGGGATCACGGGAATGCTCTGCATGGACTGCAGGGAATCAAGCCTCATATCGCATCTAGGGGAAACCTCATCGTTTTTCTCGAGTTGCGGCGGGACCTGGGGTATGTTCTCGAGTTATGGCGGGCATGGCCCTTGAAAACACGTGTTTATTCAGTGACGTCATGACTCCTGTCTAGTAATGAGGGACACCTCAGGAATCTCTTCGAGCCTTGGCAGGGAAAAAGGGATGCTTCTCGAGGTGAGGCAGGGCACACAAGAACCCTTTCCTGTAGCCACAGTGATTTTGGGATTCCTATCAATGTTCAGGAGGAGTCAGGCATCGTCCCACATTTGAAGCAGTGAACTCCGTGTGCCTCTCGAGGTGTCAACGGGATGTGAGGCAATCCGTCAAAATGAGGCAGGGACCTAGGGCTTTCGCTAAGGTCTCCACAGGGGATTCAGACATTCCTTCCGGTTGTGAGATGAAAGACGAGCCTGTATTCAAGACACTGCAAGGAAATCCGGCCTCCTTTCAAGTTAGGGCTTCTCGCTGTATATTCCACTTGAGGCAGCAAAGTGGAGGTCCCTCCAACATACCTATTGCTGAGAGAAGCCTCCCCTTGAGGTGCTTCTGGAAAGTTGGCATACGTCTTGAGCCTAAGCCAGGGAATCAGCTCTCATCTCGAAACGATTTGGGGTACACGGAGCATTCCTCGAGTTGCTGTGCTGAAGATGGTGTTCCTCTAGACTTGGGACAGTGTTCTCAGGGCATCTCTGGAGTTGTCTGAAGGAAGTCAAGCCACTGGTGGTGTTTAATGTGGAACGGGAGATGGCTCTGGAGTCAATACAGGGGAATCGGACCTCATCTCAAGTTGATTTGGGGCACATGGAGCTGCTTAGCGCTGCTGGGGATACCTGAGGGTCCGTCTAGACATGTGACAGTGTTCTTGGGGAATGCCTCGAGATCCATTAAGCAAGTCGAAGCTCCTGACTTGTTGGATGGGGATCACGGAATTGCTCTGCATGCACTGCAGGAGAATCGGGCCTCATCTCGCCTCTAGGGGAAAGTTTCATGGTTTTTCTCGAGTTGCGGCGGGGACCTGGGATATGTTCTCGAGTTACGGTGGCGATGGCCCTTCAAAACACGTGTTTATTCAGTGCCGTCAGGACTCCTGTCCAGTAACGAGGGACAGCTCAGGAATCTCTTCGAGCTTGCCGGGGCACAAGGGACGCTTCTCGAGATGAGGCAGGGCACCCAAGGAACCGTTCCAATAGCCACAGTGATTTTGGGATTCGTATCAATATTCAAGAGGAGTCAGGCATCGTCACCTTTTGAAGCAGTGAACTCCGCGTGCCTCTCGTTGTGTCAACGGGATGTGAGGCATTCTGTCAAAATGAGGCAGGGAGCTATGGCTTTCTCTAAGGTCTTCACAGGGGATGCAGACATCCCTTCCTGTTGTGAGATGAAAGACGAGCCTGTATACAAGACACTGCAAGGAAATCCGGCCTCCTTTCAAGTTAGGGCTTCTCACTGTATATTCCACTTGAGGCAGCAAACTCGGGTTCCCTCCCACATACCGATTGCTGAGAGAAGCCTCCTCTTGAGGTGCTTCTGGAAAGTTGGCATACATCTTGAGCCTAAGCCAGGGAATCAGCTCTCATCTCGAGACGATTTGTGGTACACGGGGCATTCCTCGAGTTGCTGTGCTGAATTTGGTGTTCCTCTAGTCTTGGGACAGTGTTCTCGGGGCATCTCTGGAGTTGCCTGAAGGAAGACAAGCCAGTGGTCTTGTTTAATAGGGAACTGGGGATGGCTCTGGAGTCAATGCAGGGGAATCGGGCCACATCTCGGGTTGATTTGGGGCACATGGAGCTGCTTTGCGTTGCTGGGGTGACCTCAGGGTCTGTCTAGACTTGTGACAGTGTTCTTGGGGACTGTCTCGAGATCCATTAAGCAAGTCGAAGCTCCTGACTTGTTTGATGGGGATCACGGGAATACTCTGCATGCACTGCAGGGAATCAGGACTCATCTCGCATCTAAGGGGAAGTCTCATGTTTTCTCTCAAGTTGCGCAGGGGACCTGGGATATCTTCTCGAGTTATGGCGGGGATGGCCCTTGAAAACACTTGTTTATTCAGTGCCGTCAGGACTCCTGCCTAGTAACGACGGACACCTCAGGAATCTCTTCGAGGCTTGGCAGGGCAAAATGGATGCTTCTCGAGGTGAGGCAGGGCACACAGGAATCCTTTCCTGTAGCCACAGTGATTTTGGGATTCCTATCAATATTCAAGACGAGTTAGGCATCATCACCTTTTGAAGCAGTGACCTCCGCGTGCCTCTCGATGTGTAAACGGGATGTAGGCATTCCGTCAAAATGAGGCAGGGACCTAGAGCTTTCTCTAAGGTCTCCACAGGGGATTCAGACATCCCTTCATGCTGTGAGATGAAAGACGAGCCTGTATTCAAGCCACTGCAAGGAAATCCGGCCTCGTTTCAAGTTAGGGCTTCTCGCTGTATATTCCACTTGAGGCAGCAAACTCGGGGTCCCTCCCACATACCTATTGCTGAGAGAAGCCTCCTCTTGAGGTGCTTCTGGAAAGTTGGCATATGTCTTGAGCCTAAGTCATGGAATCAGCTCTCACCTCGAAATGATTTGGGGTACACGGAGCATTCCTCGAGTTGCTGTGCTGAAGTTCGTATTCCTCTAGACTTGGGACAGTGTTCTCGGGGCATCTCTGGAGTTGCCTGAAGGAAGTCAAGCCTCTGGTGGTGCTTAATGGGGTACGGGGGATGGCTCTGGAGTCAATGCCAGAGAATCGGGCCTCATCTCGAGTTGATGTGGGGCACTTGGAGCTGCTTTGCATTGCTGGGGTGACCTCAGGGTCTGTCTAGACTTGTGACAGTGTTCCTGGGGACTCTCTGGAGATCCATTAAGCAAGTCGAAGCTCCTGACTTGCTTGATGGGGATCACGGGACTGCTCTGCATGGACTGCAGGGAATCACACCTCATCTCGCATCTAGGGGAAGTCTCATCGTTTTGCTGGAGTTGCGGCCGGACCTGGGGTATGTTCTCGACTTATGGCGGGGATGGGCCTTCAAAACACGTGTTTATTCAGTGACGTCAGGACTCCTGTCTAGTAACGAGGGACACCTCAGGAATCTCTTCGAGGCTTGGCAAGGCAAAATGGATGCTTCTCGAGGTGAGGCAGGGCACGCAAGAATCCTTTCCTGTAGCCACAGTGATTTTGGGATTCCTATCAATATTCAAGACAAGTGAGGCATCATCACCTTTTGAAGCAGTGAACTCCGCGTGCCTCTCGAAGTGTCAACGGGATGTGAGGCATTCCGTCAAAATGAGGCAGGGACCTAGAGCTTTCTCTAATGTCTCCACAGGGGATTCAGACATCCCTTCATGCTGTGAGATGAAAGACGAGCCTGTATTCAAGCCACTGCAAGGAAATCGGGCCTCCTTTCAAATTAGGGTTTCTCGCTGTATATTCCACTTGGGGCAGCAAACTCGGGGTCCCTCCCAAATACCTATTGCTGAGAGAAGCCTCCTCTTGAGGTGCTTCTGGAAAGTTGGCATACATCTTGAGCCTAAGCCATGGAATCAGCTCTCACCTCGAAACGATTTGGGGTACACGGAGCATTCCTTGAGTTGCTGTGCTGAAGTTCGTATTCTCTAGACTTGGGACAGTG